GGCGGCGGCGGCGGCGGCCTCTGAGCACCCTCCAGAGAAGGGGGGTTGGCACCTGGAATCGCTCTTAAAAGATTGGCGAGGTGGCTGGCAGCCTTGGGCAGTGGCACTCCGAACTCCACATTCATGTACTGAGAAAAAGCTGACTGCCTGGGGTCAGCAATGATGTCCCACGAAGCTGGCAGCCTGCGAGGCGAGGGGCCTGGCGGATTGCTCTCTCTCTTAATGAAGTCAATGTTGACGTAGTCCCTGGAGCTGTCAGCTTCCCTCTGCCTGCGTGTGGGCTTTGGCGGTTTGGGCTTGATGACATTTCCTTGTGTAATGAAAGCAAGACTGTTGGGTCTCTCTGCCTTGTTCTCTGGGGGCCCATCATCTGAGGGCTTGGATGATGACCCCCCACGTTCAGGCCTGGAGATCGACCCTTGGACTGAAGGCTCTGAGGGTGCATCTTTGGGAGCCCCGTTAGCTGAGGATTCTTTGTGTGGGCCCCTCCCCAGGAACTTCCCAGGTAACATTGGCACGTACTCGCTTTGTCCCAAGGGGGAACCCCGGAAAGGATTGGGCAGAGAGAAGTAGGAGCTCCAACTTTTGGAGGAAGAGCCGCCCTGAGAATTTCTGGGGTTTTTGGGAATCGCACCGGCTCCAGGAGCCATGAACATGTAGTCACTGTCGCTATCATTGTCATTGTCTTTTGAGTCATCCTCTTTATTAGCATCTGGGGTTTTGGGGGGACTGGGTACAGATGGTGGGCTCACTCTGGGAAACATCATCATGTACCCCCTTGAATCTTCGAAAGGTGATCGAGAGTGGCGCTTGGGGAGAGGCACATTTTGAGGGGCCATGGGCATATAATCACTGGAGCTGGCGAGCGGGGCAGCAACCCCTGGCCTCATGGGCACATATGGGTCATCCTCGTCGTCGTCGTCATCAAAAGCCCTAGCTCTGTGGGGACACCGAGCTGCACCTTCTGGGAGCCCCACTCCTCTGGCATCCTTGGATTCTTTGCGTTGTTTTGTAGCCCCTCTGTCAGCACAAAAATAAAGTCGGAACCGGCTCCCTGACTTGCTTTTGGCACCAGGTGGGGGTGGGGGTGGGGGCGGAGGAGGTGGCATTTGCTGGTGCTTGCTTTGAGTAAATTTGCCAAAGTAGGATCTTTTCTTCAGAGATTTCCCACGCTCCTCGTTGCCGTCTGAGCCCTTCCCACTTCCTGAGCCCTCGCCCCCTCCAGAGTCCTTGCCACCACCGGAGCCATGGCCACCTCCAGGCCCCTGGCCGCCTCCGGCCCCGTGGCCCCCTCCAGCCCCCTGGCCACTACCTGAGCCGTGGCCACCTGAAGTGCCTTGGCCATTTCCTGAGCACTGGTTCCCTCCAGCACCCTGCCCACCACTTGAACCGTGGCCCCCGCCGGAGCACTGGCTCCCCCCTGAGCCCTGGCTACTGGAGCCCTGGCCAGTGGAGCCCTGGCCACCTCCTGAGCCCTGGCCATTTCCTGAGCCCCAATTGTTCATGGGCATGTAGTCTCCGCCGTCATTGCCTTCGTGACTGTCACTGCCCTGAGGATTGCCTTCCTCCCCCGATTTACCAGCGCCAGATGCTCCGCCATTGGGCGCTGCTGCAGGGACCAGCCTCGGGCCAGAGACTAAGTGGCGAAAACAGTTGGCAGGCACTGACATGGCTCGCCTGTCCTGGCGCAGCTGGGGCAGGTGCGCCCTTCCTTTCCTGACACGGAGTAGCGGCTCACTGGCTGACACGAAGCGCCTGGTGATGACTATCTTGACTTTTATCTCATCACTGGCCCTCGGGGAATAAAACTCAATGCGGGGCTTCCGGAACCAGCCGCCAGGCGGGAAGCAAGGCAAGTTCAGGTGCCTCCTAGCGGACAGCAGGGTTAACAGGTGGGCGCCGAAGCGGATGCTGTAGCTGCAGCAGCGGGCTAGGTATTCATCCGCACACAGGGCTCTCATCTTCTCCAAAAACAGCTCATGCATTTGTTGGGCCACCACACAGTCATCGACCTGCATCCACAGCTCCCCGGGGCCGATGACGCTGGACCGGCCGACTTCCAGAAAGAAATACTGATCCGAGTGGCCGCAGCGACGGATGCTCAATAGCTGCACGACCAGGCTGGCCACCTCGGTGTTGAGCCTCACAAGTACTACCTCCTCGTCGGTCAGGCAAAGGCGGAACACGCCGCTTAGCTCTTTGCGGTGCCCCAGCCCCCTGGGTTTCACTACGACCTGCCACACATCTTTGTAGAAGGGCGGCTCCACCGCCGCTGCAGCCGCTCTCGGCGCGGCCCCCCCGGGCGGGCTGCAGCGGCGGCGCTTGCTCTGGAGGATGAGGCGGCTGAGCAGCAAGTACCAACTTTCCTGCTCCGACTGGCTCTCGGCCACCATGGCGAAGCACTCGTCCTGGGTGTAAAGGGCAATGAGGTGTCGGTACCTGGCGTCGGCTCTCTGGCACACGGAGAAGCACTGGTGCAGGGCGATTACGCGTCGCGGCGGGATGAGCGCGGGCACCCGGGCGCCCGCGCCTGCCGCCGCCGCGGCGCGGACGCTGTGTCGGAACTTGCTGGCATTTTCGTAGTATTCCAGCTGAGCCGGGGTGTCGGCGGTCTGGAGTTTGAGCACGAAGTAGCGCCGGTGGCCGTGCTTGGGCTTCCGCAGGTAGCCGCGCTTGCAGACTTCGTCCCCGACGGGGAGGTCCTCTTCCTCAGACTCCGAGTCTGACCGGGAGCCAGTGGCCGTGGAGAGCCACATGGCTCCCGGACAAGACGACCTGGTCCCAATGAGTGCGGTCGGGGTTCCGGAGGAAAGAAGCGGGGTGGTCGCGAGCTCTGCTGGCGCGGGCGCGGCTGCTGGCGCTGCTGCAGCTCTCAGACTCCTGGTCGCTAGCTCGCGAGCCAAGGAGCAACTCGCCATGGTGATGCACGTTGGTTTTAAGGTGAGCGGGAGTGGGGGGGGCGCTGGGGGAAGAGGCCGTCAACTCCCCCCGCACACACACACACACACGGCCCTCGCCCCCGCCCGCCGCGGCCCTCGCCCCCGCCCACTCCACTCGGAGCACAGCGGCGGGCAAAACAACACGTGACCGTCGCCTCACGCGGAGCGCGCTGCGGCTCCGGCTACCAGCGCAGTGGAGGGGCGCCAGCCGCCGCCCCGGGCGCGCTGCAGCGACGAGCGCTGCGGGGGCCGGCCGGCGGGGCGCCTTTCAGCCCTGCTGGTCCTGAAAGCGGACACTGCCTGGGGTGGGGGGCGGCAATCAAGGGGAGGCGGGATCCCTGGCCACACTCTGGGGGTGTGTTTTTGCAACCGTGAGGTCCACCCAGGGCCGAGGGGGCGGAGGAGAACGCGGCTGGCCTTTGGGCGTGCTGGAGGCGCCACCACCTCGGACCCAGTAGGTGGAAGGGACAAGGGCTGGAGGGGGAGGTGCGCCCGTGCGGGCCTTGGCTCCAGGGTGCTGCGCTGCTCAAGCCCCTGGACGGTTTGTTTATTTGGGAAGTCCTAACCAGGTGAATCTGATGAAAGGCTCCGATTGGTTGGGATGAGAGCCAGTGGGCGGGCCTGGCAGGAAGGCGGCCCTGAAATCCTTCTTTTGGCCTGGGGTTGTGGGGGGGATTGGCCTGGGCCCTGGAGTGGGCTCCACTGTGAGGGTGCCTCTAGCTCTAGGCTGTAAACAATCCTCTGTAAGTAGCTGTTAATGGTTGTGCGAAAGGCAGGCAAATCCCAGTGACCTGGGGACCAAGCCTGGAGGCCCTCACTTTGCTTCCCTGTCCCTCATATTAATTGTTCTACTCTTGTCCCAGTCTAGTCTACTTCCTCACGCCTCTGTCGCACGCCTGGCCGAACGTCTTAGGGAGAAAGTGTTAAGGACGCGGGCTCTCAGACCTGCCGCCCACCGCGCTCTGGGCGCTTCCAAGCCCGCTCCACCCCCCTGACCAAAAGCTCGCGGCTGGAAGGCACATGAACGAAAATGATGCCCTGGAACTCGCCAAAGCGAGTCTCTGGGCTTGGGGCCACGGGGCCACCAAAGATGGTGTTGGGGGCTGGGGTGGAGGGGTGTGCTGTGTGATTAATGATGCCGCTGAAAGGACAACTTTGGGGTCCTGCAAACTAGCCAGCCATGTTGAGGAACATCCGATTCGATTCTTAACCGAAAGGCACCACTGTTGAGCGCTCCGTTAATTATTTGCCCGTGGGAGAAAGGCACCTTTTTAAAGACGCTCCAAATAATAAGTTTCCCTGGACTTGAGACCGGAAAACTTTAGCAAAAGAAAAACTCGCACCGATAACAAAGGACCACACCGGGCACACATAGAAGAATATGTCACATTCCCCGCGTCAAGGACAAAACCAAATCTTTGCCGAATTTCAGTCGACAACTTGACCTCATAAAAATAACAGCCACTGCCTTCCTTGTTTCTGGAATAACTGCTGGAGTGTAAGTGCAGCCTCCTGAAGTCTGTGTCTGTCTGTCTATGTCTCCCACATATCGTGTCTTACTAGGAATCCAGCCTCCTGTGGGTTGAGATTATGCTGAAGAGCCAAAGAAAGGAGCAACCACGTTTGCAAAAGGAAGGTTAGGGCCTTGGGGAGGGTCAGGGGAATGCATTTCCAAGAGAACAGTGTCCTTCATTTCCCTCTTCCCCTGGGGTAGGTGTTGCAAAGGGTGTTATTTATGAATTTGAACAGTAAAACAGGCAATGTATACATCATAAAAACAGACTCCATCCCTATCTCCATGAGAATTTACTTACTGGTAGAAACAGAGCAAATGAAAAGTTGGATGAATGGCCCCTTTAAAAAAATACACTCATGGGAGGTGGAGGTAGCAGTTGGTTTGGGCTGCCCCCCCCCCCAAATATTGTAAGCAAATCAGAAACAATCATTCACATTCCCTCTGCTGCCTTGGGCTTATAAGCACATTATACTCACAGGTGCAAGAAGCAGCCATCGTTTTTTTTTTTGTTTGTTTTTTTCAAAGGGGACTGGAGACACAATGAGTGGGGGTGCTGCCAGCATGCTGACCCGTGTTTCAGCCACCACCCCCAGATGTGCCTACAATGATAGCCCAAACCAAAAGGAAGACAAGCATTTGGGATTTTTAGGATCAGTAGGACTCACCGATTTTGCAAGTCTTTCCAAAACAGGGTTTTTCATTTGAGAGAAATATGAAAACCAAGAAGGTGGGGATGCATGGGACAGTGCTTTGAGTAAAAACCTGATATTTTAACCTGTCTTGGAAAGCGCATTAACATGCCCATTAAATACAAATTGAAAATACTGAATGAACAGAAGAGAGGTAAAAATCTGCATGTCTGGTTCTCTATGCCTGTAGTTTCCCGTGCCATGTGTGGGGAGGCTTAAAATGGAATTTGGTACTTAAATAAATATAGCACTTTGTAGCCTGTTCTTTTCTCTAGTACATGATAACAGTTTCCCATGTTATTACGGGTGTTTAAAAGGCAACACAATATTCCTCAGTAGCTAATGTATATTAATGCATGTAATCATCCCTCTGCTTTGGTGTGGTTAGGTTAACATAATTTTTTTTCAGTCTTAGAAATAATGCTGCAATGAATATCTGATAGCATTTGCTCCTTTGCTATTTAGAATTACTCCCTTAGGGTGGCACCCAACAAGTGGAATTAACTCAGTTAAAGGAACTAAACAGTCTGATACATTATATTTTAAAAAGATTGATGGTCGGTTTACCTGTCACCACACTAATGACCAGCATTGAACAGTCATATTTTTTCAAAATCACTTTTAAGATGGGTAAATTGTAGTCCATATAGTTTAATTTGCATTTTTGTTTACTAGTGAGAGAAAACATATATTTGCAAACAATCTTCTGTAAGGAGCCTTTTGGTGCTGCTTCCTTATCTATCGGAGTCGTGGCATTTTTCCTTATGAAAGTGTGTGACTTGTTTACATAATAAAAATTTTCAAACTTTTACATAATTGTTGTAAGTTTTTTCCCCCAAGTCTATTATAAATAAAAGCTACACATTTAAACCTGATTTTCTTGTTTGGAAGGCTGTTTACATTTGTCCGGATATCATTAAAAGGGGAGCTGTGGAGACACACACACACACAGGTCCCCAAGATCATGTCTAATCTTCTGCAAGCTCCCATATAGCTAACCTTATATGACCTTTTGAAGAGAGAACTTAATTAGTTCTCTTCTATTAACAAACTATAAGAGGTATTCAACCTCATTAAATTGTTTGTAGCACTGTTATCCAATATTCTCTACTCTGGAGGGGGGAAATTAGGGTGAATTTATATGTTCAAATAATTTCCTACAAATACAAAAAGCGGAGAAAGCTTCACGATGCTGGTCACTTTGCATTCAGGTACACTGGCTGCAGCACGGTGGTTTTAGAGATGTAGGGAGTGAGAAGTTGCACAAAAGAGCTGGCCAATGAAAGTACTTGTGAACAGGGAGACTGAGAAGGCCAGAGAACATTCTTTTCCTCACATAGGTCAACCCAACCTCCACAGTTGCTCCAACCAAGACAGAAGCTCTCAGAAGGGACTGTCATTACTGAACTGCACCAGATGCTGCAGCTTGTCTGACGTATATTTAAACTTCCATCATCCTGGACAACTTAATGATATAGAATAGTTGTTTTGTTTAGGTCAGGTTTCCATAGGCAAAATAAACCCGAGAGGTGGTACAGACCTCTAGGTAGTTCCGGCAAAGTATGAAGACTTGGTCTTCGGCTTGAACTTACCGGATTGCTTCAGCCCTCTACTTCTAGATCCCTAGCTCTCAGTTTTAAAAATTGCATTTTCAGTTTGAGGACAAATTGCCTCTGAAAACTAAAGTTTGTGGGTTTTCTTTTGTTTAGGGGGTGGGGGTTGTATATTCAGCAAGAACTTCCATAAGTTTTGGATCTGAACCAAGAGGCTGACATGCACATTAAAACACAACAAAACCCTGTTAAGAAGTAATCAAACGTATTCTGTATGTCTTAACAGTTTAGCCAAGGAGAGAAAAATCTAAGCATTGCAAACTGGTATTAACAACCAGAACTATACTTAAACATAGCCACAGATCTTATATGTGTGTGTGTGTATATATATACACATACATACATATATATGTGTATATATATGAAATATGATGCCCTTACTGGAGCTTGCGTTAGAAGGCATTTCCTGTGCCTCCTGGCTGAAGAAAACACTTGTTTGACTCAATACACGGGTAAATGTGAACGAAACTGTGTCTTTCCACATGCAGCAGCATGGGTACTCAAGACTCAAATTTATACTGAAAGTATGAAATAGAAATACGGGTGTTTTTTTTTTTTCGTTTTAAATGCAATGGTTGCATTAAATATGGACATTATTCAAGGGGAGAAAGCCTAAGAGGCAAAAGAAGCCAACATAAAAACACTACTATTGTTGCCAGATACTGACAGGATCCTTTACGTATTTCATCTAAAGCCTTGAGAGAAAACGTTTACTTATGTTGGCAAAAATGTGATCTGACCCCCAATAGTGGGAAATGATGATTGCTCTCCCTGGGTTTGGATAACCCCCCCTCAAAAAAACAAACCCCCAAAACAACCATGCCCCATGAACAAGGCTTTCTCCATGAGGCAGGAATGAGGGCTGCCCTTTGATGTGCAGCTCCAGCTACCCGTTTGCAGATGAAGGATTTGCTTCTCTGATTCTTGGAGGCGACTCCAAACCTCTGCTGGAAAAAGCAACTATGGAATGCCTGACTGCTGCACACAGAACCGGTCTGTTTGCTGCTTTTGTTTCCTAGCAGTCTGCAGCGAAAGTAATTAGAGCAAATAGTGGTTCAATTAGGCTCCTAGCGCTTTCCTGTTATATTAGGAGTCAACTGAAAATTAACTCAGTTAAAAACCCAGCATTTCTTCCCGCCTTCAAAGGAGGAAACTTTCATT